ACTTATATTAAAGTTTTTCTTCACTACCCATTCAAGCCGTCTCCAAGCATTATTAGTCTCAAAGTGGGTTCCTCATCATCGAAAGAGAAACTAAACGCTACAAGTAAACGAAAATTAACTTGTGGTGCACTGAAACAGACTGGAATATGTACTCTAAGAAATGCAACAGATAATTTTTGTAGCTGATATTCTGAGATCAATTTATATACTTGTAAAATTGAGGTAAAACGGCATAAGTTAATGATCCTCACAATGTTAAGTACGATGACGTTATTGATATACTAGTCGAAAGCATATGGAAGACGTGAACATTGTTCACATTAAATATGTTTTACACGAATAAGTGTGTACAGTTATAAGTATCCTTTTAAATGTTCTATGTCAGAACACGATCACGAGTCATTTGTTTTTGTGGCGGTTTAATCCTGATTATTTACTTGAGATGTATATATATTGTTCAAAAATAGTTCTATAAACATATGTTCTCGTCTGCTACAAAATATGCCCCGTGCGTGTTTGTTTTGTCTCGGATATACATTACTTTCACCCAGCATGTCTATACGTTTGTCCAAATCAGACCTGTTCATTCTAAGGCGCCATTAAAAGTACGACAGAACTTTAGGGGAATTCTTAATGTACTTTAAGAGTTATTTTCCTAGATTTACGAGAAACTACAAAAACTGAGTGGTACATATATTGCTCGCGGATTAGCAAGGGCTGTTTTATTAACATAGCAGATATATATTTGGAGAAGTCCCGTAAAATACTACCACACAGAGTAGTTACCCAAAGAATAATGGTAATTAATTCGGTAGTAAACGGAATTCTAAAACATACGTTAAAAGGCTAGGCATTCTAAGCGATCATGCAAAACGTGAAAATTTTCAAAGTTTTACGTTCATTACTTTTGTAATACATAACGTTAAAGAGCTTACCACTCACCTATCCTGGAGGAAAAACTCGTACAAAATGGTAACTACCACTGTAAACCTACTTCTGCGTTTCAAGAAAAGACAAAACTGATTCGAGTAGTTAACACAAAGCTCGGGCGATGCTTGATAAAGCACGTGAGCTACCAAATCTTGATATCTACTCCCACAAGCCGGCCTGACGCACGCCAACTAACACTAAACCACAAACCAGTTGATTTCTGAGGCAATATTTACACTCTAACTTCCAACACATATTGGCCTCCTTCCAAAATATGCAGGTTACTTAATAAGAAAAGTGTGACACGCGAGCATGACGCGGTCATCTCCATCCCTCATCAAAGTAACAGATCATTGCGAAAGCTCGGATGGCCGACCCACCTATTTTCAAATTAAACGAGTTAACAAAACATCAAAATAAATTAACCCCTGCCACATCTTATTCAAGCAATATCCTTGAAACTTGAAATTTTATTACATAAATGTCTTTCTGTCAATGAAGTCAGTATATGTATATTAATGAAATTAAACGCGTATGTACCGTATTTTTCGGAGTACAAGACGAACTTTTTTTACCCTAAAATTTGATGTCAAAATCTGCTTGCGTCCTATACACCGAAGGTATGAATAATATATATGTATATATGCGATATACACAAGCCATGTGTAAACATTATT